GCTTTTTTTCATCAAATTATCGTATCTTATCACAGTTAGAGACCTCGAACTCGTGTCGTTACGTATTTTGATTTGTTTCATTGGGTGTACAAACGAAATGGATAGTGTGAGAGGAGACATACTAGGTGACAATTGTCACCTCACCGGTGACTGAGAGACAAGACTCGAAAAATAAGTCTGAGTGTGATGCTATTTTTAGAAAGTGGAAATTAATACAAATAGCATTTAAAACAAAGCATGTTAAACTTAAATTTGATTTTATTTCGAAGAATTTATGTATGTGATTCGAAGTTAACAACAGCGTTCAGTTATGTTCCATTCCGTTCAGGGAGATTAATCCAAAATTGCTTTTGGTCATCTTTAATGACGGGCAAAATTGCATTCAGCAGCGCCTGCTTGCGATCAGTACATATGCCGACCGGATCAGTTCGACGTGTAAGGATGCTTTCAATAACAAAATCACTATCAGTGACCGTCTTCAGCTGTTTCTTGGAAAGGATGCAGCAAGTTCTCATTTCTTAGCTGTCATCCACTGAGCTGCTGAAGTTCATCTCGTAACTGCCTTTCTTTAGAATGATTTTCCTTATGCTCTTTATATACGGGCGTGGCTTACAGTGATTCAATGTGTACTGAGAAACTGTCAACTTCATCTCGAAGAAATCGTTAGCTGCCATATCCATCGCAAGAACATACTTCTTCGCTTTCTGGACCACATCGCTAAACTCTGGGAACGTTGATGTAGGTGGACCATGACGCATGGCTTTCTCAACAGCCGCGTGAAAACTGTCGGCTGCCATAAACGTATGGCCAGACTTGAAAAACTTGAGCAGAACTTCCTTCGTATTGAGCAAGAGAATTAAATAAAGGAATAAATTCCAATTCTTGTTCTGGCTGGAGCAGTTGTCCAACCAGAACGTAACCTTTTCTATTCCGTTACACCACATCATAACTTTGTTAAAACAGCTCGTTATGTCATCCGCCGACCTCCCAGAGGTAGACTCGTACCAGACACACGGAATAACCGGAAATTCCTTGGCATAGCTACCGACTGGTGCGAATGTTTCATTAAAAGCCAGCACACGCTGAGTGAATACAATCGACTGCAAACCTTCCAGACGAGGAAGTTGGATGACCTGTGATAAGAAAACAAATGTTAAAAGATTAATTTGTATAATTTTCTTTATAAAAAATCACCTTTTGGAGGTCCACAGCAAATTTCGTCGAATTTCGTCTCCATCATTTCGATAAACTGATCGTGAAAGTGTTGCCAACCGTAAATGTTCAACATGCGACTTACAAGCAGAACATACAGTGAGGAAACGATCTTCTTTCGCGTGTCCATGTGAACTCTGATGTAATGCCGCAGTAACAAAAACCTCACATTGCTCGTGACTAAGTTTTACGAGTGAAATGTTCATTCGCGACATTACTTTAGAATAAAACAAGTAGTTAACTTTTAAGGCAGATGGAAGGTACACGGTAAAAAAAAGTACCCAAAAGTAAGTTCTTTTCACTCATCTCGGCACTATAGTGCAGGAACCCAAAAGTAGGTAAAACTGACCAAAGTAGTTTTCATTTACTTGTGTGCAATTTGTATGGAATTTTCCACTAGCTTTCTACCCAATAGTAAGTTAGTTGTACCCAAAAGTAGGTAAATATGATTATACTCAACGTTGAGCTCCCACACTTTACTACCCCTGTTGGGTGGTTTTGCTCCTCCGTTTTTGACAACATTAGAAGGCGAAAAGGAGACAAACTAGTCAAAAGCAGGTAAAAGTGAACTGACCGTTGGGTGCTTTTTTCTAACCGTGTAGTAACGATTCGGTGCGTGCACTGAAACAAAGATAATAGTTAGGAATACTATTTTGCAGAAAACACTTATTTTCAGTATAACTACGCTTAATACCGTTAAATCTACCATGATTTCAGTATAGTTGACTATAAATATAATAAAATTTACTACCATTCTGTCAAAACTACTATGCTGACTCAAACGGTATAGTAATTTTGATAGAAAAATTAGTCAAATTAAATGAATTTCGTTTCTGCACAAATCTATTGGTGGGAGTATTTAATTTAAACCATCAATATAGTATTTTTGCCAATGGATTTTGTTTCTGTGTGTGCTCGTCGGTAGTGTGACACAGTCGGGTTGTAAGAAAGGATGTGCGATTTCACAGATTCCCGTTTGGCTTGACATCTTTCATATTTCCCACGCTTAGTAGGTTTCGGTTACAATACTATTTACCCGCAGTTGTCTCCATAGCCAATAGTATTCAAAAAGAATTTTCGACAAACACGCACATCAGCTCCATTCATCAAACGGATGGATAAAATATAGGTGGATCTTTTTTTTTATCGTTCGCTGTGGTTTGGTTCTTGTGTTGGAGTGGCACTGGGCTTCGGTGTACATTTTCCCTGATGTAAAGGGTTTGATTGGTTTTATCCAGCTTCCAGAACTGGTCATGAACATTGAGCCGCTCGTCCTTCGATACAATCTGGTCACAATTTCTCCGGCATCCACATTTTACGATAAGCAATTTGTGAGCCAGGCGGCGATTTTTCGCATTACTTGCATTCTGTATTTCTTTTTTGGTTCGTTTCCGCTTTCTGTTCTCAATTTAAAAAAAAAAAAAACTTCCGTCGGAATCCTCCAACTCTTCCTCTTCGCTGTTTGAAGTATGCTCTGTGTTCTCCATAGTGTCTTTATCAAGTTTTTGAATCCCGTCTGCGCCATATTTGTCCAAAAGAAACTTTTTAAATGATGAAGGATCACCAGCTGGTTCAACATGAAATCCGATGAATTCATCGTCAGAAGTTTCCGTCTCACTACCGTATGCTTGCAATAATTGCAATGCAGACATTTTAAAAGTGTTACACTACTGTAAACACACTCAAGTATTGCTTTTCAGCTCGTAAGATGAACACAATAACATAACAAGTAAAATGATCGACTACAACAACTCACTTGTCAAACTGAAGGCACTAGAGCAATAGACTGGCGGATGCGAATTCTATGCATCCAAATCAATTGTCGAACCGTAAATAAGTGTTGCTGATATTTATTATTCGTACATTACGTGATGTGTACATGTGAAGTCCATAAATTATGTCACGCCACATGGCCAATTTTTAAACCCCCTTTACCTAGGTGTCAAGTTTTTTTGCGTGAACATTTTTTTTTTGTGTAGAATGTCATGGCTTCCAAAACCCCTCCCCCTAAAATCGTGACATAATCAATGGTCGTTCCCTCTGATGTAAACATTACACAAAAGATAGAGCACGATTGTATTCTCTTTCATTTTGTTTGCATCCGCCAAGCTATTTATTTTAGGTTTGCATATCACACTGTTCACAACGAGACTGGTATGCGAATATTTTGCTGATCAAATCAAAAATTATTTGCATGTCAGTCCTATTGATATTTTGTTCAGATACATCGATCATCCAGAATTTTTTCATTAGAATTCGATAGAACTTGTTTATTTTAACAGAAATATTGCGAACATACGATTAAAAGTAACATACGGAAGCGAAATAAAGGAAAACTGATTAAATATTTCAATTGTCTTTTTCTCAACTTGCTGTTTTTCGCCATGGGACTGTTATGCGAATAGCGGCAGTACAGTCGTTACTATTTTTCCTCGCTAGAAGTCATTTGAAGTGGATGCAGAAGTCCTCTGTTGCCAAGTGAAAAGAAAGGGAATCTTTCGAAAACCGTGATGCGAGTTCAACTGTTTTTCTCTTGGCGTGACTCATTATACACCGACTCTAGTCAAACGACACAACCCAAACGTCAAATCATATGTTCCCTACCAAAAACTTAGCCAGATTGTGACGGCCATAAGCGCTCGTAAAATACTGGATAAGCTACTCGAGTTTAGCGTACACTAGAATAGGGTGTTTGCCGTGTTTGCAATTAGCGTGTTTCCATTTAACGGAAACACACACACATGTGAAAAAGGTGTAGTCGATTCCGCTATTCTGACACCTACAAGTAACAAGTTGGTTTTTTTTAATTAGCGCCGAAATCACAGTTTCACCTTCAGCGTTCCCTTTATAAATTGCGGTGTGTATTTCGGTGAACTAAGAGGAAAGTTAAGTTTGTCGGTGAGTTAAGTTCCAACGTACGGACTTTTAGTTTGAAATTCGCCGCCGCACGACGTTGACTATCTACAAGACGCTGATTAGACCGGTGGTTCTCCACCGACAAACCGACATGAATGACCATAGAAAAAACAATAAAAATTCTGACCAAAGCACACTACTGACATCTGGCTCCGTGTTCACAGGAAATATTTAGCAAAGTCACGAACCCTCATGCAAAAGTTATGAATTGGTTCGTGTTTGATCTATTCTGGATAAATTATTTTTATCTAGATCAAAAAATTCTATGGATTTGACAGTTCGGATCACTGCACATTTAAATCGGCCGTTTACGATTTTCGGGCACAAGTCAAAATTAAGTGTCATGTCAGTTTGTCGGTGGGTTCTCTACGGCCACGAGACCTGGACTATGCTTGTGGAGGACCAACCGAACGGAAGGTGCTGCGTACCATCTACGCTGGAGTGCAGATGGATGACGGAACGTGGAGGAGGCGAATGAACCGCGAATTGCACCAACTGTTGGGACAACCATCCATCGTCCACACTGGAAAAATTGGGCAAAGTTACAAGAAGAGGTTGTGAAATATGTGTTTGACTCATAAAACCTGTTAGTTTCGCTTTCAGAAAGTGACAATCAGCGATTTAACGATTACTGAGCATTCACTCAGAGTGAGCGCTCACGAATCTTAAAATCGATTATTGTGACGCTCTGAAAGCAATATTGACAGGTTTTATGAGTCAAACACCTACTTCACAATCTTCTCTTGTAACATACAAGTAAAATTATTATTATAACATCTAATGTATTCATAATTCCGAAAAACTATTTTTATAGGCAGTGCGTGGAAGTAACCATGTGTTTAGGCACTAGGCTTTCGCATTGATTTGTCTGACACGATTCAGGTCGGATCTAGACTCCATAACCCATAGTCACCAGAAAATGATCCGGCTATATCTCCGGAACCATTTGACCGATTCCAAAAATTCAATACTATTCATTTGGCGTTTCTTGGAATTAAAAAAAAAAATCTCAGGTGAATTGCAAGGCAATAGTATTAGCAGTAGTAGTTATAGGTAGAATTCCAAAGTACTTCTAAGGAGAATTGTATAGGGATTGTGATTAGAATTCATGGACAATTTTATGAGGAATTCCAACATAACTTGGTGAACAATTTTAACGAAATTTTGAGTAAAATTCAAAGGGAATTCTGATGATAATTCTTAACAACAATTCCAAGGAAATACTGACAAGATTTCCAAAAGCATTCTGACATATGGATTCCAAGTGAATCCTGTTAACAATACAAAGGGAATCTGAATCTGAGCATAGAAGTCATTTTTTTTTAACTTTCACTCCGCATTTTCGTGTAACGGGTAATTTTGGCCGGTGTTCTGTGACCTTTATATTGAATATTGTCAATCAACGCAAGTTCATTGGTCACCCTGCATTCAACAGTAGCTACTTCCAACGATCGTCATTTTCAAAGCTTTGTTATTCTAAAGGCCGGTTTAAGATTCAACTCACTTGACCTACGAAAGGAAACCTGATCGATGTCAAGTCAATTGAACGCCGACTACCTGATCGGGGATGCGTTGAATCAACTCACTTCAACCGTATATTTTGACTAAAGAGCCTGAATTTATAAAGAGACGACATCTTATCCATTTGACAGGTCTTCTGCTCGATTGGAATGACTGTTCCTATGACTTTGACAGAAAATCGATTGTTCCAATTTTGACATGTCGCCTCTTTATAAATTTAGGCTCTTTAATTTTGACCTTAACGAATTAAGCTCTGCTGCACAGTTCTCTAATCCCGTCCTTCAAGTGTGATGTTGATGACGATGATGACGACTCCTCGGTATCACTTGGCAAACCCATTTCAATTCTCGTTTAAAAAAAAAAAACCCGATTCTAATCCTATTATCATCAGTCTAACGATAACATTTTCTTCTAGGAAAACTATACGCCGACTCCAGATTTATTGTGATTTTCAATATGAAAATTAATAACCGCACTTACTCAGTTGTAGTTGATGGGATGACATATGGACGGGTTGGGCGGTTGGTAAACGACCTTCTGTATCATCTCTCCGCCGCCTCCAGTATGGGAACCGGTGTTGTTGTTCCCATTCGGACTCAGCTCTCCCGTTTGATGGTGATGGTACTGTTGCTGCTGCTGTAACTGCTGCTGCTGCTTTTGCCGGTACTTAGTGGAGTATTTGTAGAAATCGGACATCTCGAACGGTTTGGTAACTTCCTTGTAGGGCTGTATTTTGCCCTGTTGGACAACGGTTACGTTTTTCGGCGATTCCGTTTGAATGTCGGGCGTGGAATGGATTCCGGATGCGGATCCCGTAGTGGTTATTGTCGAGGGAGTAGGAGAAACGGACGATTGCGGTCTTAGTGTAGGGGATGTGAGCGTGTTGGAAGAGGATGCCGATAGGGTTGGGGAGATTAGAAGGTCAGGATGTCGGGACGATAGGTTATTTTGCGGAGGAGCTTCCTGGCATTGATAGTAATGGGGTGGGAGGTTGTGATTTTCCCGATCGTAGTACTGAGGCGAATGTGGAATAAGATCCAAATGCTGCTGCTGTTGCTGCCGTTGTTGGTGCATTGCATGGGAGTAGTGACTTTGATGTTTCGGTGGTTGAGGAGGGGACCGAAGAAGCTTCTGCTGTAGTAATTGTTGTTGCTGCTGCTGTTGTTGTTGTTGTTGTTGTTGTTGTTCTAGCAGATAGGCTTGATGTTTCTGTTCTTCCAGCTGTCTTATCCGATGCTGTTGCTGTTGACGTTGTTGTTCCAAGATTTGCTGTTGTTTTTGCTGATAGTATCGCATTTGCTGGGGTGACAAAAGCAAAGGCGATGAAGGTGATGATAAACCGTAGTTGCTGCTGGTATTGATATGCAACGGAGTTTGTAGAGTTGAATGCGATTGCGAATGATGATGAGGAGGCGGTGGTGGCGGTGGTTCGGGATACGCCGGAAGTGAGGGAGGATTGGCCATCGACGAAGGAAGGGTTTTGTGCTTAACGACTGGACTATCCAACGAAGTTTCCCGCCAAACCTTCTCTCGTTTCTTGTGTTCACTGGATCCGGAGGTAACGGAAATTGTATCAGGTTGAATCGATTCATCTGATTGTTGCCGTTGTTGCTGTTGCTGCTGCTGCTGTTGTTTGTTGATAAAATCAAAGTTTCCCATTGAATTACTTTTGGTGGGAGCAGCGTACGCGTGTTGACTTAGTTTGGACCGGGAAAGTTTCATACTACCTCCTCCTTGTTTCCGATCCAGACTTGAGAAACGGTTGTCGACTGAACACCAAACCTTTTCTCCTGTTTCGAGCATCATCCAATATCCTCCGAGACCGGCTGCTCCTTCCTGCTGCTGATCGTAATTGAAGCCAGGAGGCAGTTTCGGGCAGAAGTTCTGGTCACTCATAGAGGTTGAAGGAACCAGTAGTGGAGGAGGCGGTGGAGGAGGCTGCAGCCTTGAGATCATTTTGACATCATACACAAATGCTTGTCCGGCAACCGTTGATGATCCACTAGCTGGAGGTGAAAGTACGTAACCAGGACTTGTGCCGTGGGAATGATGACCCGGAGGAGGACTGTAACTATGGAGCTGCTGTTGAATCAATTTATTCAATCGATGAGGACCACCACTCTGCAGCTGCTGTTGTGACTGTGCCTGGTAATGCTGATGTGGGTGAGAATGATGATGATGTCCACTACCGCTACTCACGGGCGACAGCTTCGCCGTATCTCCCGAAGCACCCGTTAGGTCATAACTTATCATTCCACTAAAGCTATCGTGCCGGACGCGATGTCTAAGCATACTCAGTTGAGAGACCATCGCTGCCGAGGCAGCAGGAGTCATACTTTGTGAACCGGATGGCATAACCGACAGTGTTCCCGAGTGGATCGAATAGGGCGAGATTTGCTGCGAGTGATAATGGCCTGGATGCTGCTGAACTGGAATTTGCACTAAAAGCTGCTGTTGCTGTTGATGTTGTTGTTTTGGAGCCGAACCAATTGAACTATTTAGGTTGCTGGAATGGTTTGACGATGCATTCGATTTCACCGAGTTCCTCCGCTCCGACACATTCATCATCATCATGCTGCTGCTGTTGCTGTTCGATCGAAACCGATTAAAGTTACTGCTTTTATGAATGTCTATATCGTCCCTCGTTGCAGGAGGAGATTTTTGCTGCTCAGCAGCTTGTTGCTGACGTTTTTTCAGTACGCTTAAATTTTGATTGATTGCTAATAGTTTCTGCTGAGCAGTTTCATAATTTTGCTTGTGTGTCCTTCGAACCGACTTAGATTGAGAGGTATCATTAGCTAATCGGAGCGATGCCTCCGATATCTGCTGCTGTATTTGCTTTTCCAAAAGAAGCTTATTGATGTCGTCTTCTTTATTGTTCAACAGATTTTCCGGCAGCTTGAAGCTGGTACCAATCTTCCGTCTCAAGGTGGGTGCCGCTCCATTTTGATCTTGACTTCCAATGCCAGCACTGAAATCACTCGGATACATTCCAATAAGTTGAGCCTCTTCTCGTTTGATTTGCTGCAACTGGGCGTACTTTTCGTTGAGCCTTTTTTCCAGCTCAGCTTTGCGAGCTTTGAGCTGATCATATTTACAAGGGCTTTTGGTGGCGCCATCGTCCTTGGTCCCTACACTCTTCAAGCTGGAAGGACTTCCTTTCTGAATGTCGACCACTGCTGCTCCAACACCTGCCTTGGAGGTAGTTGCCTGTTGTTGATGGGGCGGATTGCCAAAGTATGGTTGCTTCACCTTAGCATCCCCCATGTTTAGTTTCTTCTTGTTCTTCAGCTTTTGCTCTTGTTTGCACTCACATCGAACAGCACTGCCGCAAACGGGTACTAATGCTTCTGTGAATCATCATCGTCGTCGCCGCCGTCGTCATGAGGAGTGCAGCCACCAGAAAAGACCTTCTATTGAAACTCACTGATTATAATTAATGCAATTCGCGCGCGCTCTCACTTCTCATAACAACGAAACACACATATTGGAACGGTACGGTACACTACTGACTGTTGGCTTTGGGTCTTCTTCAAGTACGTACACTCAAATCTTCTCTCTTCGCGATGCTTCTGATTCGCTTAGTAGCTGCTGGCAGTCAACCGATACACTTTTGTTTTTTTTTTCAGATTAGATAAGCCTTGTACTATTATTTCCACACTCATATGATACTGCCTTTGTTGCTACACTTCTTTTATTTTTCTTCTTCATAGACGTTGATCTTATCTCTGGGTTCAAAAGGTGAAAAGTCGACGTTGTCAGATGCACACAATAAACAGTAAAATTAAGAGGATGTTGCACAAACAGTACTGCTAAACTTTAGACATGCTTATATTTTCAATATTTCTGTGCACAGTAGTTCTTAATTTGCATCTATATGCGTTCTGGTCATTGAAAAATTCTGGACTGCAGTTTATTACTGAATCGTTATAATTTCAAAATATTTACCTACTTTGAAACATCTTCGAAAGTTTTGACGTTCCACACGTACCTAAATAATATACATTAGGCTTTAATTTAATTAAAACAATCCAAAATCCTTCGATTACCAGCCAACCATTTTCGTTGCTTCGTCACCATCATTCCGCGATGATTCACGTTACGGTTTCCACTAACTGTATGTCGACGCTTTTCCAAAAAATTCCCTCACAGGCAATCCATCCGTCTGCGCGATATCATTCGTTGTGCATAAGCAGCTATTAGATAGCCAAGTACTTGTGTGATGTGATGGGTAGGTGGAGGGCCGCTGATGTGTTACCCCATCGCCATTAGCCATTCATCGCTCACTAGGCTATTACTGGCGTTGTTGTTGTTGCTCCTGTTGGTTGAGGGCTGGCGTAAAGGAAACGATGTAGGAAAAGGGCCAAGCCCCGAGTGTGCAGGGGCCGTTCGTTCACAACAATTTCATTCAAACACCAACACAAATGGACACTAACCGTACGCCCAACATATTTTTGCTGACGATGACTGTACGCCTCTCTTTCACTCGAATGGCCGACGTCTACTATGCTGTGCTCTTTCCTTTTTCATCGTCGGAGATGGGTGTCCTGAATTCTTTCGCCCAACTCTCGACGAGATTTTATGCTACGGGATCCCACGGAATAGCGCCTACCTTTGTGGGCGGATTTCACTATCGAACCGCACTGGAAACGTTCGCAAAACTAGCACAAACTGAAACAAACGGACTAAACACTCGGACTAAATCACTAATGAACTAAAGAAACAACTTAAAATAAACGGAATAAAGCAAAATGTTTGCTACGATAGAGCAGCGAACTGAGCTCGATCTGCTGCTGCCTCACGTTTCGCAGTTAGTACACAGAAATTCAAAACAACCCAAAATTAAGTTATTTTCACTCATCTCCCATGTTCCGTACAATAAGCCAAATTTGGGCAAACCGGCTCAAAGTAGTTTGCATTTAAGCACGGCAAAAAAAATTACCCATCGCTAAGTTATTTTCAATTTTTTCTACCCAAAATTAAGTTCAATTAACTCAAATTTGGGTATATCGCATATTACTCAATTTTGGCTTCTCGTACGGAACTAGACGGTTGAGTCGAATCTTTCGTTCTATTTTTGACAACAATAGCGAGAGAAAATGAAACGGGCAGAGGTCAAATAACTCAAATTTGAGTTTAAAAAACCCAAGCGGTGGGTAGTTTTGTTTTTCTGTGTACACACACATTCACAACTGGCTAACGAGAAATCTCGTACTCGGATACTCTATTCGTGTACGGTAAGACACCCATTAGTGTGAGCAGGAAAAACAAACGGCTGTCAGTGATTATTTGCACAGATCTGCATTCAGGAAGAACAATCAATATTTTTCACAAGGGGTGTATCATCAGCAATAATACACGGAGAAAAAATACTACCCAAAATTTGCGTTCTTTTTACTTAATTTTGAGTTGACCCTTGCACCAAAGATGAATACAAGAGCAAATTTTCATTATGTCGTAAGTAACATTCGCACCAATCCGAGAAAAATAAGGTTTTGTTTTGATGACCGAAAAGTTATTCCTATTTCCAAGTAAACACATATAATCTCATAGTGATAGCAATGTTTAACATATTTAGCAGGGTTTTAATCATACAAATGCAAATCGCTAGCTTTCATGCTAAAAAATACTGGTTTTTGAGTCAAAAGTTATTATACGTCGTTTGGTGGCCCCTATTGTTACTTAAGTCAAAGTGTATTTACCAGGATATTCGGCAGAATTATCAATTACGTCTCCTTACGTGCAGCCCATTCATCATTTTAGGACCACCGAAATCATCTTAGCAACAAACAGTTCGATTTATTCACTTTAATAATGAGAAAGCGAAACGACGAAAGTACACTTTTCACGGGTTTCTCAGCGCTGTTACTTAAGTCAAACGGCATCTCCATAGAAATTGGGTGACTTAAGTAACATCGAAAACTATTTTGATCGGAAGGTGATTACGTCGAAAAGCAATTTGACTGGTAAATAAATTTAAAAATGGGATTTGATCCTATATTCGGACAGTATATAGTGTAATAGCAGGAGAATCGATTGACACTGATAGCTCGACTTTGTTTACCTTTGTTACATTCGACGTAATGAAAATTTGCTCTTGAATACTAAGATGAAACTGTCGGAAGAAAAACTTTCTATTTTAGTGTCTTCTTTCACGGTCCCTTTCATCCAATGAGAACCCCCCGTATTCAAGGTAATTTTGTGGTTTTGCTGCCCCCTCGGAAGAGATGAAATTTTGCGCTCATTTTTATCAAAACAATCACACCAAAATCAGAGATGTCCCATTTTTTAATTACTCGATTAACAACTAATCGATTATTTTTTGTTCGCTGTGCTGCCATTTTTCCACCAATGAGAGTGCAGCACATGTTTGAAACGATCGGTGATGATCCTGTGGAGATGTTAATGCTTATATCGGCATGATCTAACCGATTATAAATAGTTTACTTTTCGGTTCGTTAATCGATTAAACGATTATTCGAATGAAAATCGGACATCACTAGATGAATGTGAAACGTCATTTCAAATATAAGGCCGTTCATAAATAATGATACAATTTGAAAGGGACCGGAGCTAATCACAAATTACGTCTCCATGGTAACTGAAATAAACACGAGTGTTCACCGGTTGCTTGCACTAGTTCAGGCATAACATTCGCAGCAAAAAAAGTTGTTGAATATTACATCGAAACTGCTGCAACCAGGTCAATCCATCGGTTGTGTAATATCACATTGTACGATGTACATCGATTTTGCGAACAAAATTACATCCATTCATGTAATATTGCATATGCTTTTTGCTATTACATCATTATTTCATACATCTGCTTGAATTACGTTGATCGATATTACATTTTTTTTGCTGTGTTTGATAACGGCACAAGAGCATTTGTAAACAAACTTTCTAAGGCCCTTTAAACACGAACCAAAGTACGCCCACGCAAACCAACAACATCATCGGATAGGGGCAACTATCACCTTTCCGAAAGTGGTATTGGTTTGCGTGAGCGTACTTTGGTTCGCGTGTAAAGGGCCTTAGAAATTTTGTTTACAAATGCTTTTGTGCCGTTATCAAATGTTATGCCTGAGTTATTGTCAACAATCAATTCGAAACTAACGATTTGAAATTGGCTCACTACACTACTTGACTAGCCTACACAGCAAAAAAAGTTGTTGTATATTACATCGAAACTACTGCAACCAGCCCTAATAAAAAATAACGATAAACGAACGATAACCCAAATCATTGAACTATTCCACAAATGGTTTGGATGATACCCAGAACACGTCGTTAAGCAAATTAACCATACAATTTTTATTAGGGAGGTCAATCCATCGGTTGTGTAATATCACATTGTACGATGTACATCGATTTTGCGAACAAAATTACATCCATTGATGTAATATTGTATCTGCTTTTTGCTATTACATCATTATTTCATACATCAGCTTGAATTACGTTGATCGATATTACATTTTTTTTTGCTGTGTATTGGTCCCAAGCAAATCGATTAACGAACCCTATTCTAGTATAAATTCCAGTACTACACTATGTTTGTTTCGATTCGATGTGAAAGTTTGACAGATAAAATTAGGGGTTAGTGGATTTTCCTATGTTTTGAGGTGTGAATCGATTAGCTTGGGACCGAAGATACGACCAGAGCTGAGCCAAAAATTTGAGCTCGTTTCTTCGGGACCTTCTAGTCTTAGAGTTACCTCTATGGTATTAGCATAGAGGTAACTCTAAGACTAGAAGGTTCCGAAGAAACGTGCTCAACTTTTTGGCTTATCTCTAGTACTCTCTTCGGTCCCAAGCTAATCGATTCACCCCTCGAAACATAGGAAAAACCAATAACCCCTCATTTTATCTGTCAAACTTTCATAGCGAATCAAAACAAACATTGCGTAGTACTAGAATTTCGACTAGAATGGGATACGTTAATCGTTTGCTTGGGACCAATAGGCTAGTCAAGTAGTGAGCCAACTTAAAATCGTTAGTTTCGTATTGATTGTTGGTATTAGGCTTTATCGGCTCTATGAATCTTTTTGTCGAACCTCCTAACGGAATCCCTTTTTGAAGAGCTTATTGAGTGGTGTTGAGTACTTGGCAGTCTGCAAGTAGTAGGCAAAATACGCGTATCTGTCAAAAGATAAGCAATTATAACGGATTTAGAAGGAAATAAATCAACACACTCAAAAGGCTTTATGAGCTTACCCATTAATGAGGGCTTTCAAGTTAGCGTGCACATGTAGCTCATTACTGTTTTAACTTTACTCATTCATCGGAACGCCCCTCGTACACGAAACAACTCGAGACCCTTTTTCATCCAAACCAAACACGACTCGTTTCCAATATTAAAAGTCACAATCATCAGCAATCAGTAATTGAAAATTATTCATTCATATGCTTGTATGCTTGCGATGATTTGCGAACGTAATGGTTCTTCGTTCTTCGTTTCGATATCAGTGTTTTCAAAAGGTCTGCAACGAACGGACAACCTTTGACCGTGTTTTCTCCTAGTATAGAATTAAAAATTTGAATAATGGCTCTAAAAGGATTGAATGTTCTGGAATTTGTTGGTTTAGCTCCGGGACCATTCTGCGGAATGATTTTAGCCGACTTTGGCGCGACCGTGACCAGGATAGATAAGGTTTGTATGGGACGAAAATAGGAACTTTGTACTCATACTGTTTTAATATTCTAGTCACCGATAAATAGCTTGGACGTTCTTCAGGGTGGTAAAAGAACATTGTCATTAGACCTGAAGAAGCCGAAGGCTATCGAGATAGTTCGTTCTTTGAGCCGTAAATCCGATATACTGATTGAACCCTTCCGGCCAGGAGTTATGGAAAAACTGGGATTAGGTCCTGCTGTAATGATGAAGGAAAATCCAAGGCTGATCTACGCTCGTTTAACGGGATTTGGTCAGAGCGGATCCCATGCACCCAGAGCAGGTCATGATATCAATTATGTAGCCTTGTCAGGAATCTTGTCCTTATTCGGCAGGAAAGGGGAACGTCCAACTGCACCTATAAATTTTGCTGCTGATTTTGCCGGCGGTGGTCTGTTGTGTGCTTTTGGAATTTTAGCAGCAGTATTGGAACGGCATCACTCTGGAATGGGTCAAATTGTAGATCATTCAATGGTTGAAGGCGCTGCTTATGTTGGTAGTTGGCTTATACGTTCCCAGAAACTTGCAATATGGGGGAAACGACGTGGGGAAAATATGCTGGATACAGGAGCGCATTTTTATGATACGTTCCAAACGAAGGATGGCAAATACATGTCCGTTGGAGCTCTTGAACCACAATTCTACAAAGAGCTGTTGCAGGGATTGGACCTGCAAAACGAACTGCCTCAATATGACGAAAATGACAAAAATAGACACCTAATTGAAGCTATTTTCCTGACCAAAACGAGAGACGAATGGACTGACATATTCAAAAATCTAGATGCGTGTGTATTCCCGGTGCTCGAACTGGAAGAAGTAGATCAATATCCGCACAATCGGGAGCGTAGTGTTTTTCTGGATAGAAATCTTACTAAAGATGGGGAACTTGTTCCAACACCTGCTCCAAAACTTAGCAGAACTCCGGCTCATTCCGGCGCACTGGTCATGGAGAAGGATGAGCTTCAGATGGTGATGGAAATTTGTGCAGAAATCGATTTGGGAGCTGAGGATATGGCAAGGTTGTGTGAGGAACGGGTAATATTGACAAGTACCAAGCCAAAGCTTTGATCGGACGGAGTAGGTATATGGTGGTAGTAATAATTACGCTTGGGGCACAATGTTTAGTCACATGAGTGATGCCGTTTACTTATGAGCTATTGCCGTTAAACTAATATTATTTTTATCGGTTCCAGAACTTGTTGATGGAATATGCTGTTTTCTAGAAAGATATTAGAATGTACAAAGGTGTTTTAGGTGATCACGAGAATTAAATATTTGTTTATAAAGTCGAAATGTTTGATCCATTTAAATTATCCGATATTTCTTATGGTTTTTTTTTTTTGATTATCGGACAGGTTTAGGCCGAAATGTCTCAGAATTTCGTGAAATTTTTCCCATCTCTCCCTCTAGTAAAGATCATGCCTATAAGAAGAAGAGGAGACAACTGGTTTCTTACTCTTTCATCTCTATCTCTATCACGCACTTCAAATCGGCCAATCACGAGCTGGTTCGCGTTTGACAGAAAAGTGGTTCGTTTTCGCCCCCGTATAGAGATTGCTGACGTTTATCGTACGCACACTACACTGAAACAAATCGACATGTGCCGTTTACTGGATCCATCTTATAACATAGCAATGTCAGCAGATTTATTCATTCTATGTGATGATTGATAGATTCCATTGTATTATCACTTTAAAACTATGACTGCGATATGGAATGATTTCTATCGTAATTTCACATACTTTGTACTTGATAATACTTTGCTTCGAACGTGGTTAGCGATAGGTAAAAAGTATATGAATATTGTCTGATATATTTCATGGTGAAAAATTGTTGATATGTCATGTTGATGTATGTGGGAACAGACATCTAGAAAGTAATGGAAAATCATATAAGTTTGCATTATTAGAAATTGACGTTTGTTGATATGTCGCGTGTAAACAGACATGTAGAAACTATTGGACTGTCATTTAACTTTGCAGTATAGGAAAACATGTATATCTCATATCTCATTGGAATAGCTTCCTTTGATTTTTGAGGTTTAAAGATTGTAAACAGATTTATCCCAATCATTATATAGTCATATAGATTTGCCTTTTAAGAAATCCAACAGCAAACATTTGTTTTGGCATGTTTTTCTGGGATGAATATCGCTCAAAATAAAATACATCTTACATGATTGCTCTTCATAAATTATTGAAACAATTTTCAACGATGTTATCGTACACTCATTAAAATGATTAGTTGATATTGTTGATATTGTAAATATTTCTAACAACAATGATACTGTATTGAATAATCTTTGTTTGTTATTGTTTCATAAGATAAGGGGTTCCGGAAAAGAATGTATTGAGATTGAAAAAAAAATGATTCTACTGCAATATTTACTTTGCTGTGATTCTAATTGTAAGCCTTCTACACAGCTAATTCAGATTCCAGCCCTAGTACTCGAACTTCATGAACCAGTTCCATCAACTCATATAATTTAGTCGTTGTTTTATTGCACACAGGCGCATTAAGAAAGATTTGAACAAACGACACCACCGAAACGGAACATAAACTTGTCAGTGCTATTTGTCTTCACTCTAGCAAAACGAGCATAAAGTTGCACTACATTCCATGTCGGGAGAGCTGTTCTTACTTCATGCTAATTGAACGAGCTCAATCTTGAAGTCAGCCGTGGTCCAGTGGAATCGAGCGCAGAAACCGAAAGCATCACACCTCAACAATTCTTGATCGAATCCCAAATCAGCTACAATAAAAAAAGACACAACTGTGAAAGCTCCCACTGCCTAATGTTTATTTTTCGATTTATTTTTAGAAATCGATTAAATATATGTGTCAAAAGAAGAAGTAAATTTCATGTGATTTTCACATAAACTTTACTTCGATTGATTTATGACACATATATAATATTGTGGTGAAACGTAAAGCTTATGCTAATGGGTTTCAAATCCATTTCAGTTAATTATTATAATTTGACTGATTTTCATTTATCATATGACGATCACATAAAAGTTACCAAATTATCAGCATTGTAAATGTATCAGATATTCATATAGAATTTACCTGACACATTTTCAATCATATCATTTTCAATGGATTATCTTATAGCGCAAATTTATTAGATTTCCACATAACAGGAATATGTCAAATTGGTTCAGTGTAAAGGCCCAAGCTCAATGACGGCGGAAGCGGAACGGCAACGCCAGCGGAAAAGCCCGATCTGAGTAAGCCTACTCGTTGGATTGAAAACTAGTTAGATTCAAATCGACTTCAGTTAGGCATCTTGATGTCATTAGTGACAACTGTCAAACTTTCCGTTTCCGTTCCGCTTCCGCCCACATTGCGTTTGGGCCTTTAGTCACGTATACGTATATGCAAAATGTTTTCATCGGGAAAAAAAACTTCATATCGGAAAATTTTCCCGATGAAAACAAATCACTGACACAATCATACTTTAGCATTCTACTGTACCATTTAAATCGAATGAGCGCAAGAGAGAAACAGATTAGTGGGAAAACAAACCGTAGATTCATCCAAGTTTGCTAGATAGAGAAAGACTATTAAACGTCAAAAAGGTATATTGTCTCATCTTCCTCTTAGATCGTGCTCGCATGTTTTTAGTAGAAATACTCAGAGGGAGAGATGAGCGGAGAAAACAAAATACAATTCGGCAGCAGGGATTTGTAGCTAAATAATCTTGCAACCCTTGCTAGAAGCTAGCATTTCACATGACTTTTCCTTTTGATTCAATTTACGTGCAAAATAATAATTGAGTCTGAGTGCATGGCAATATTTTGTACATTTCTTGGTGCTATTAGTTAACCAACTAAGATCAATTAATCAATGGAGTTAGAATATTGTTTTTTATTCAAAAAAACTAGTTGAATTTGAGAAGCACACGAAACATAAATGTGACCTGGAGACGAACCAGCCCAGGGCTGAAAGTCTCCTTAATATAAAAAAAAGGTGATTGAATTTCTGTTCGATTGCAATACTCTCTAAATTAATCTAGTAAGAATAAGAAATCCTCGGAAAAATTCTAATGGGACTGTTCGATTGGCTCAGATTTTGACAGTTCATTTGGCTCAAAACATTCCTTCTGCTTCGGGGATTCTGGAGGATATTCTGGGAGCCATGTCTATCGAACTAGAAACTTAATCGAAAAGGTGAGTAACTTCTATTGTACTGCCAATAGCATTAAAATCTTATTAGCATTCTCTTTTCAGAACTATCCTTACAGTAAGCCTCTTTACTTAAATTGGGTCACGAATGTCTCCTGTACGGATGACTGGCATCGAGATCGAGCTGGGGAAAGCAGCAATAGAATATTGATGTGTAAAATGTTTAAATAAATTTGAAATTTGTGTTAAACAAAATATTTAAAACCCAATAAACATGACATCACACAAAAAATTATCGTTGATGAAATTGAAAAAATCGTTGGTAGAATTAACAGTTTGCGTTGGTTTTTTTGGTAGAAAGCGGTTAGCTTTCAAAATAAAAGTTAGCCAACAGTCAAATCAAAAGTAGTCTACTCACTACTTTTAAAAGTTTGAACTTTCAAAATGAATTTTACTACTGTCAAATCAAAAGCATCACAGTGTTGAAATTAAAAGTGGATTATTTTTTAACCAAAACAAACTATTAACATAAAAGTTCCTTACTGTTACAATAATATGTACCATTTCGAATTAAAAAAATCACTATTTTCAGTATGAATACCAGCATTTTCAATCATAACAATCAAATTTTTCATTTAAAAATCTATTAATTATAAAATTCCTATTTTTGTGCTTCAATTTCATGTTCCAAAAATAAATTTATGTTTTTATATTGAATGTTTTTACAGTTTACATGATAATTATTAGATTTTTGTATGGTTAGATAGACGTCGTATAGCAGCAGTCAGATTTTGAACTGCATCATCCGTCTGTTGTGGTCCAGTACGGAGCAACAAAACTCAGTGAACTGGTGGCTTCGCTGAGGACATGTTCTATGTGGGAAGCAGCCAGCGATCTAATCTAGAATGGTATATAGAAATTAATGAGAGTGTAAAAGTGTGGGGTAATCTTAAATAATCTTGTCCAAGCAGGAGCAAATTTAAGGTCACTTACTGGAATCTTTGTCGGACATTTGCGAGGTTTGCGTCTGTTCGAGAGTTTCTGTTGCATGGGTCGATGCACAGGCTGGTGGCTGGTAAAATGTTCCACCTATTGTTTGGCGCGTTTTGTCTTTATATACTCATGCTACCGTAGAATAACCCATAAAAGGTAGAAATCTACCCATGAAGAAGTAATTTTGACAGTAAAACAAATTTCGATTTGAAAATTTGCGCTTTTAAAACTACAAGATAAAATCAAAACATTCGTTTTTGAATTGAAAATTACATTGTTAAATTAAATATCTTCGTAGTTAGGGTAACGAATTTGTTGATACTTTTAAATTAAAAGGTCAATATTTTTACTGGTACAATTTTTGTTTTTTGTGTGTACTAATCCGATATGATTGACATCACACTTACAAGTGTAGAGCGTTTGATAATTATGTGTCAGATTTTTTAAGTCAACAAACGGGATATATGGAATCCGCGTGTGTCGCAAGCGTTTTTATAGTGATAAGAAATAGTTTATATCAAAACATTCACACTTGAAATGGATGTGTTTGCCAAATTGCGCAAATTTAGATGTGAAACACATGTGAGTGACGTGTTATTTTTTATGAGTGTATAAGAGAGTTTATCTGTGACTAGAAATACTCAGAGGGAGAGATGGGCGGAGAGAATGTTTTGAGCCAAATGAACTGTCAAAATCTGAGCCAATCGAACATTCCAATTAGAATTTTCCGAGAATTTCTTATTCTTACTAGAATAAATTTGAGAGTATTGCAATCGAACAGAAATTCAATCACCTTTATGTTTTGAGTGCTTCTCAAATTCAACTAGTTTTTGGAACCAAAAACAATATTCTAACGCTATTGATTAATTGATCTTCGTTGGTTAATGAATGGCAACCAGAAATGTGCAAAATATTGCGATGCAATCAATTATTATTTTGCACGTAAATCGAATCGAAAATAAAAGTCATTTGAAATATTAGCTTCTAGCAAGGGTTGCAAGATAATTTAGGAACAAATCCCTGCTGCCGAATTGTATTTTGTTTTCTCCGCCTATCTCTCCCTCTGAGTATTTCTATCTGTGACCCATATACCGACTCACATCCCTGTCAGTAGTTTGATCTATTTTT